GACTCGATGGCACCTAACAACAACTGACTTGGCTTAGAATATAGAAATCTTTATTAAGTAAAAATGATGACTAATCATGACTGTGAATTTATGTTCCACTAGGAGTCAAGTACTACTTGAGGTCTCTCTTCACTTAGCAGTGCTTATGCTTCAAATTGAGAGCTTAGGATTGTGTACAATTTTAAGGAAATGATTTAAAGGAACTTTTATCTCTGATAATCTGGCAGGGTAGGATCCAGAGCTAACCTGCATATGGAAGCTATTTAAAATGAGTGGGCATAAGTGACAAAACCTAGGGCTCACTTACCTAAATGAGAAGTGTAATAGGAAACAACTCAAAAATATTTAGGACATCTTAGTATAAAAGTGGAGTCCTGGTGTGGCACTGTAGGTTAAGTGCAGGACTGCAAGGTCAGTTTGAACTACAAGGTTGGAGGTTCAGACTCACTAGCCACTCCTTGGAAACCTAGTATTGGGTTGCTATTTATCGAAACTGACTTGACAGCACCTAATAACAACACCAACAGTGTAAAAGTAAATAAGAAATAAACCTGTTTCCTTGGAATCTACAAGAAAACACACACATTGAAAGCATTGATTCTAAGTGCAGAGAAGGAATAAGAGCCATTGAGTAATAACCATACACCAACCTACACAGGCATTTGTAGCCTAAATTAACAACTTCTGATTTGTTTTGACAAAACTCAACCCAAGTTTAAAGTAACTCTAAACTGTGAGTTCCCCTAGGTCTCTGGAAGAAGCAACCACAGATTCTCTCTTAAATCCACCTTCATCCAAGCATCAAAAAATTCTCCCAGTTAAAATTCCAAAGGGAATTGTCACTGTTAACAATCATTAAACATACAAGGAAACAAAGCATGAATGAGTAATAGCAGAAACTGACTAGCAAAGACTTAAAATATTGGAATGATCAGAAATGCAATGTACCATTGCTATGTTTCTGATGTGAAACAAAAGACAAGCTTGAGAAATGTTCAGGGCACAAACAAAAGAGTGTCAAGACAGTTTGAAGGATATAGTGAATGCACTTCTTTTTAGGAAGCATATAATATTTGAAATTTTAAAAAGTGATGAGTTTAACAGAAGTTTAGATCTAACGAAGAGACTTACTGTACTGGAGGATACACTTCTGAAACAGAAATGATATCGGTGATAGTACACAGCAAAAAATAAATCGAAAATATGTGGCTATTAGACATAGAGCTTAAGCTAAAATATTTAAAATGCATATAAATGTTTCTAAAATTAAGAGGAAAGGAATTAGTGCAGAGACAGTAATTGAAAAGGTAGTGCCAGAGCCAGTAAAGATAAATTTATGAAATCTAACATATTTAAAGTAGACAAAGAAGTAATGTACACACACGCAGTATATTTATTTATTTATCTATTAAACAACAAAGAAAGAGGGACGATTTTTCCTCCTGAAGCACGAGCCCTGGTGTGACATTATAGGATAGTCAATCACTGTGCTGTTACCTAAAGGTCCAGAGTTCAAACTCACCAGCCCCTCCTTGAAAACCCTATACAGGGTCGTTATGAATCAGAATTGACTTGCCTGCACTTAACAACAATATAAATGTTGCTTTGAAGGGATTTTTAGATATAATTAAAACCCCTAATCATTTGACTTTAGAGTAGGAAAATTGTTCTAGATAACCACTACCTATCTGCTAGTTTGCCATGCAATGGTGATTTGCCTTTTGCTGTAATGCTGGAAGCTATCCAGCCAACATTTCCAATATCATCACCCTTGGTAGACAGGTATTCATAGAACTTCTAGACTAAGACTTCTAGACTAAGAAAAAAGGTCTAGTGATCTGCTTCTAAAAATTAACCAATGACAATCTTATGGATCACTGTGGAGCTTTGTCTGACTTGCTTGTGTCGGATATATCATCAGAAGGAATCAATGACGAGGACAACATCATGCTTGGTGAAGTAGAGAGCCAGCAAGTGTGAGGGAGAGTCTCATTAAAAGTGGGTTAGCACGATGGCCAGCCGCAATAATAGACTGGAACGTGATGATGAATGTGAAGCTGATATAGGACTGGGTAGCATTTCATACTGATTTTAACGTGTTTCCCTGAATGGGAGGTGCCTCAACAGAATCTAACAACATCATAGATATTCTGGGTTGGTGTGACTGTATCTGTTGGGTATACTGAAAAAGATGACAGATTTCCTTAGGAGAGAGAAGAAATGCTGTCTGCTGGACCCCACTTCAACTCATGCTCATGGGTTTGAGCCAGCCCATGACCTTCCCTTTCTATTATGTAATAAATATAGTATATTGAACTAAGCAAAGGACACAATGGGCAAATCCTTTATTGCTAACTGTCTGGTAAGGATCACCAGCAATTCAGTTCATATCTAGAAATGGATCTAGTGCAGACCTTCCCATATTTCTATCCTTGTCCTCAGAAGATTAAGCAGCACACTCTCTTTCTGACCCCCAGACACCCAAAATTGGGTCAGAGTTCACAACTGAGAAGGACCTTGTGGTTCACAGTCCAGTGCTTATCCTACAGAGCACTGCGCTCACTTACATATACTATATACATACATTGAACTAAAATGTATGTATCTATATAATTTATATATGTATAGCTCTGGTAGCGTAGTGGTTACGAATCGGGCTGCGAACCTTAAGGTCAGCGGTTC